TTACAAATGTGGACAGATTCAAACAGAAAATCATGAAGGAAAATCGATTAGCTCTTCTGAGAAATGCCATGATGCCATTTTCCATTTCTGTAGATGTCTGTAGTGACAACCAAATCGATGAGCTTATTCAGAACATTGTTGATCGATATTTGGAAATGGATCGAGAGCGAAGAGTAACAAAACATTTTGTTATCAACGCATTGGATCGACAAGAAGCTCAAAGTCAAATGTCGGAAATACTGGACGCAATTCTGAATAGGGACGAGTAAAATTAATCATCATGTTCTGGCTTTGCGTTGTTGAACTCGATTGAATTTTGAAATGGTTATTTATATTAATCAAGGTAATGTTACGTCAAATGGACTGACTGCATTGTCCATCATGTTTTTGAGGCGCTTAGGAGCTACAACTCAACTTTAAGCATCGTGCGCTCACTGGAGCATTTGCTGCATATTTTGAATCAATTTCAGTATCTTGACGTTGCACAAAGGGATTCAATAAAATATCATAGTACTCATAAAGCGGTTCATAGTCAAATCGTTCAGCTGCTTCAATGACCTGTTGCATTAAATAATTCCTTAAGATATATCTTGGATTTGTTTGATCCATGAGAGATTTTCTGTCTTCGTTCGATAAGTGTGAAATGGATTCATGAGAGAGACGTTGAATGTATTGGGAAAGAAACTGTTTCAAGGATTGAGTGGCAAGTTCCAAATCATTGGTGTCCAGTACGTCTGAAAATCCGGTTCTGCTGCAGCTACCACTAGTAGAAGTGTTGACTCTTGGCTCCAGTGTGGCCATTAGTTTTTCAATAAAGGTCTCTGGGAGCTCACTACAATTCTTGTCCAAATCGGAGAGAGTTCTGAAAAAGTTGGTAAAATCAGCCTTATAAGTGTGCATCCACACAAGTAAACTCTCAATGAGTTCCCAATCTTTATCTCTGAGAGAATCACTGTCACCTTGGAACATGTTGAAATCGGTCACATCTACTTTCGTGTCCACTTCTGGAGCCATGTGAGGAATTAATCCAAGCTTCTTTCTGAAATTTAACAAATAATAATGCTCGAAATGAGGAGCGTAAATGGAGAGCACTTTGGTGAAGTAGTCCGTCGAATCTGGAAGGAAGGTTGGTGTCAAGGCCCTCATCAATTTTTGTAAATTCCAGTAACAAATTGCAGGTTGATTTTTGTAGCGATAGCGTCCCTCCTCGTCACTATTGTTTGGTATAAAGTCTTCATTGTAATAATCCATAAAACCAAATGGTCCATAGTCAATAGTGACACCCAGAATAGACATATTATCAGTATTAAGGACACCATGAACGAAACCGCTTGACATCCAATCAGCAGTCAATTTAGCAGTTCGTCTCACCACTTCCTTAGCAAATTGTTCTCGAATGTTATTGTTCAGAGTGACCTCTCCAGTATTCGCATCAATACAATCTGGAGTCAATAAATGAGAATAATGATTCTTAATGACATAGGTCGCTAAAAGGTCAATATTTTTCACTTCCTTTTCGTAAAGTTCACGTTCTTGTTGACCAAATCGATACAAAAATACCTCAAACGATCCAAATCGAACAAAAGTTGGGGCCACTCTCATCACAATTGCTCCATATTCATACTTTGGATTTCCATTGTAAAACTCATCTCTTAATACCGCTCTGTCCTTAGATCGAACCAAACTAAATGCTCTCGTGGTAGCCACTCCAATCTTGTTCATAAATTCGCTAGCAAAGAATTCTCGAATGGAAGATCTCAATACAGCTCTACCGTCTGCATTTCTTGAGAATGGAGTTGGGCCTGCTCCCTTAAATTGCAATTCAAACAATCGAGGAGATGATGATGACAAGGAGCCATTGTTTTGTCCATTCAATGACCTTGATGCATCAATTTGTCCTATACTAATAGCTCTTCCATCACCCAGTTGACCAGCATAATGTCCAAATTGAAAACCTCCATAACAATGAGCATAATATTTTGTATTCGACAATAATTCATAGCCTGACAAAATGTTAGCCAAACGTTGAGGAAATTTCTTGTCATCTCCACAAAATTGCTCTAAATCTTTTTGTGTGATAAAGGAAGTGCCATGATGACTACTGTTGGCATGATTTTGGCAGGTATCCATTTGTAAATTTGATTCTTGATCCGTAGTGGCAGCTGACAAATCCACTCCGAAGCAATCTCTTGCCACTTCATTACTCGCTACTACAAATTCATATGTTGTAAATCCAGACCATTCATCTTCTAAAGATGATGAGGAGGAG